GGGGGGGTGGGTGGGTTTTTTTTTAAGTGGTCGTGGGGCTTGAACTCTGGGCCTGGGCACTGTCCCTGAGCTCTTCAGCTCAAGGCGAATACTATACCATTTGAGCTACAGTGCAACTTCTGGTATTCTGGTGGTTTATTGGAAATAGAGTCTCACAGACTTTCTTGCCCAAGCTGGCTTTGAATCACGGTCCTCACATCTCAGCCTTCTGAATAACTAGGATTACAGGTGTGAGCCACCAGCACCTGGCCAAGGAGGGTATAATTTCTTATCTATAAAACTGCTTGTTTGTTTGTTTGTTTTTAAGAGAAGCTTGCTGTGTAGCTCCATCTAGTCTGAAACTTTCAGTCCTCAAAATCCTTCTATCTGAGAACCTGGAATGTTGAGGTTAATAGCTTCTGCTGTCATTCCTGGCAATGATTTTATTTTCATTCTTTTCATTGTTTCAAGTTTTTTGTTACCAAAGTGCAGGTCCTGGGCTTGAATTTAGAACCTGGGTGTTACCCCTGAGCTTTTTGCTCAAAGCTAGTACTCTGCCACTTGAGCCACAGCACCACTTCCGGGTTTTTAAATCGAAGAAAAGAGTTTCATGGACTTTATGCCTGGGCTTGCTTCATACTGTTGATTAGTAGATCTCAGCCTCCTGAGTAGCTATGATTACAGGTATGACCTACTGGTGCCTGGCTTCAAGAATTGTTTTAAGACTTATACTAGTTTTAAGAAGGATACTAGTTTGATTTTAGATTTCTTATTTAAATGTAATTTTTTCAACATTTTTATCTGAACGACATCCTACAAAAGTAAGGAGGGTAAAAAGGTGAATATTGTTACGAAAAAAGGGAAATGCATCAAATTTACAAATCTTTCTTTTTTTCCAGATGGTTCATTTTCTTACACACTATGCTGACAAGATTGAATCCGTTCATTTTTCAGACCAGTTCTCTGGTCCAAAAATTATGCAAGAGTACGTATGAGATAAAAATATTGAAATTTCTTTTTCCCACTAGCTCTGTGTTGAAATAGCACAAGATGCTTCCGCAATTTCCCTTACCACATAAGTAAAGGAAGTTGGTAGTAGTCTCCAAGCTTTCCTTTGTTTTGTGTACATCATGAATGGTCATTTTAAGCCTACAGAAGACAAGCAAGCCTACCCTACCTTGTATATGTCGCTGCATATCTATCATACACAGTATGAGAAACTCACAGGATGGCTCATACTAAGAAAGTGCAACTGCTAGTTCCCTTTCCATTTTAAAAATATTCAGTTTGGCCAGGCACTGGTGGCTCTCACCTCTTTTCCTAGCTACTCAGGAGGCTGAGATCTGAGGCTTGCAGTTCAAAGCCAGTCCCGACAGGAAAGTATGTAAGACTGTTATCTCCAATTAACTACCAGAAATCTTGAATTGGCACTTACCTGGAGCTGAAGAGCTCAGGGACAGTGCCCAGGCCCAGAATTCAAGACCCATGACCAACACACATACACGCACGCACACACGCGCACGCACACACACACACACACACACACACACATATATATTCAATCTGTTCATATTGAACTTGTATTTGCCTAGAAATCTGTGTATTTATAGCTTATAATTTATAGCCTTTTTGGCTTGATTCTAAATAATTACGTGATTATATTTTTTTCAGCAGATTATTAGATAGTGGTTTCTAGCTTCATAATAATACTTTTTCAGTAGTATATATTCAAGGCTTGGATTTATTCTTTGAATTCATATCTCAGGAGAACATTATTAAATTTACTCCTTTTTTTTTTTGCTCGGTGGTGGGGCTTAAACTCTGGGCCTGGGCACTCAGCTCTTCAGCTCAAGGCTATTGCTCTACCACTTGAGCCACAGTGCCACTTCCAGCTTTTTCTGTTTTTTTTTTGGTGTTAAGGAATCAACCTAGGGCCTCATGCATTCGAGTCAAGCACTCTATCCTGAACCACCTTCCCAGCCCCTAAATTTACTCTTGATATAGAACTGGTTATGACCTCACTTATTAGTTACAGGTTACTCTAATAGGCTGTGTAGTTGTATACAATTCTGGAAGCCCTATGTTCATTCCTCAACAACAGCAAGATAAGAATCCATTCTAGACTTTAGTTGTCTGTTTCTGATCCCTACCATCTAGATGTTATTACATCATTCTTACCTTGCTTAAGTTGGTAACAACACTAGGGACAAAGTATCCCAGTATAGTAGTGACCTTTTTTTCCTTTTCTTTTTTTTTTCCTTGGCGGGTTTCAACTCAGTTCCTTGTGCTTGCGAGGCTGGGACTCTTCTACTTGAACCATACCACCAGCCCTGTTTGTGCTGTTTATTTTGGGTTGAGCCTCGAACCAAGTCCCTCTCACCCTCTGGAGTAGCTAGCATTCCATATGTGAGCCACCAGCACCTAGCTCACTAAGCTTTTTTTGTTGGGAAGAGAAATGAGTGATTGACAGAGATTACAAAGGAATCTGTTAATAATTGCTCCTCCAAATCCCTGAGGGGTTAGGGGAATTACCAGAATCTCAGGATACTTGCATCCCTAATATAAAATGGTGTATAAAAATGGGTTATATATAATCTATGAATATCTTCCTTCTATTTGTTAAGCCTCTGTGTTTACTTACAATACCTGATAAAGTAAATACTATGTCAGTAGTTGTTATTCTGTATCGTTTAGGGAAAAAGACAAAAACATCTGTACTGTACATGTTCATAATTGATACAGGCTTTTCCCCTAGTATTTTCTATAGTTGGTTTGGCAGGTGCAGAACTTCTGAATATGAAGAGTCAATTATCCTTAAATTTAACTCATCCTTAAATTTATTTTGAACCTAACCCCAAAATGAGATGTTTTATTAATGGAAGATATCATAGGAGTTGAAAAAAGCAAAATTGTTAAAATACAGGCCTTGGTTGGGTATGGTAATACATGACTGTGGTCTCAGCTATTTGGAAAAGGTAAAACAGGAATATCAAAGTTCAACATAGATCTGGCAAAGTTAGCACAAGACTATATCTGAAAAATGAGCTAAAAGCAAGCTCAAGTGGTAAACCAAGCCCTGAGTATAATCACCATAAACACACACACACACACACACACACACACACACACGGCTGTGGGCCTCATACTTTAAAATACAGGCTCGTTTCTGGCTCTGCAGGTGAGATGGAATGTATTCTGCCTGTTGGAGACATCACTGGAGGTCTTCAGGTGTAGGATAAAGGTCCTTAAGTCTCCTGTAGGTGCTGAGATTGTATTTGATTGGGGGTGCCAGGGTACATATGATGCTGATTGTTTGAGTGAATTGGGTAACTTGTATGTGTGGAAAATGGCATATGTTCCTTCTTAATAGATTTTTCTTTTATGACAGGGAAGGTCAGCCTTTAAAGCTACCTGACACTAAGAGGACACTATTGTTTACATTTAATGGTGAGTCTCTTCTTCTTTTTTTTTTCTGTCAGTCATGGGGGCTTGAACTCTGGTCACTTAAGCCACAGTGCCATTTCTGGTTTTCAGGTGGTTAATTGGGGATAAAAGTCTCATGATCTTTCCTGCCTGGGTTGGCTTAATGCAGTTTTATAGTTAGGAAATTATACCCTTCTTGACTGGGTGCTGGTGGCTCATGCCTATAATCCTAGCTATTCAGGAGGCTGAGATCAGAGGATCGCTGTTCAAAGCCAGCCTGGGCAGGAAAGGCCCCCTGAGACTCTTACATCCAATAAACCACCAGAAAAGTGGAAGTGGTGCTGTGGTTCAAGTGGTAGAGCGCTAGCCTTGAGCTGAAGAGTTGAGGGGCAGCACCCAGGTCCAGATTAAAGCCCCCAGGACAAAAAAAAATGCTGCATATAAAACCTTATACCTTGGGCTGGGAAGGTGCCTCAGAGGTAGAGCACTTGCCTTGCATGCCTGAGGCCCTGGGTTCGATTCCTCAGCACCACATAAAGCAAAAAGAAAAAAGCCGGAAGTGGCACTGTGGCTCAAGTGGTAGCGTGCTATCCTTGAGCCGAAGAGCTGAGGAGCAGCGCCCAGGCCCAGAGTTCAGGCCCCATGACCGGACCCCCAAAAAAATATTAAATAAAACCTCATACCTTGTTGATTTCTGATTGTCTTCAAGGAGATAGACTTTTATTTTTTCATTTCTATTTCTACCACATTTTAACTGCTTGAGAGCTTTGAAAAAGAAATCTATTGGGCTAGGAATGTGGCTTAGTGGTAGAGTGCTTGCGTAGCATCCATGAAACCCTGGGTTCTATCCCTCAGTACCACATACACAAAAAAAGCTGGAAGTGGCACTGTGGCTCAAGTGGTAGAGTGCTAGCCTTGAGCGAAAAAAACTCAGGGGCTGGGAAGGTGGCTCAGTGGTAGAGCACTTGCTTTGCATGCATGAGGCCCTGGGTTCGATTCCTCAGTACCACATAAGCAAAATGAAAAAAGCCGGAAGTGGCGCTGTGACTCAAGTGGTAGAGTGCTAGTCTTGAGCTGAAGAGCTGAGGGACAGCGCCCAGACCCAGAGTTCAGGCCCCACGACCGGACCCCCCAAAAAAAAAAGAAAGAAGAAAGAAGCTCAGGACAGTGCCCAGGCCTGAGTTCAAGCCCTAGGACTGTTAAAAAAAAAAATCTATTAGCATTTTTAAAATTTTTCTACCCAGAAGTGTTAATGCTGCCATGAACTCAGTGGGAAAATGGCTTTGTTTTTCAGTACCTGGCTCAGGTAACACTTACCCAAAGGATATGGAGGCTTTGCTACCCCTGATGAACATGGTGATTTATTCTATTGATAAAGCCAAAAAGTTCCGACTCAACAGAGAGGTAAGACTCAAAGCCTTTATTGCAGACTAGTACCTTTTATTACAGTTTTTTTTTTTTTCTCAGTGGGGAGCAGCTATCAAGGATTTCAGTGATGGCATCTTTACCACTAGACAGTACCAGATGGGCGTAGTTTTGTGAGAAAATGCTAAGTGAAATTTTCTTGTATTGGATAGCAATGGTTATCTTATGAAAGACTTTGTTTCTTTGGGAAAGGGCAAACAAAAAGCAGATAAGAACCGTGCTAGAGTGGAAGAGAACTTCTTGAAACTGACACATGTGCAGAGACAGGAAGCTGCACAGTCTCGGCGTGAGGAGAAGAAAAGGGCAGAGAAGGAGCGGATCATGAATGAGGAAGATCCTGAGAAACAGCGCAGGCTGGAGGTAAGACAAACTCCTCACTGCTGGGATGGAACTTAAAGTTTATCTTACCACTATGACTTTGTATCAGCTGTCAAGGTGATTCTACTTGAGAATATATATAACCTAAAAGTTTAGTAGTAGGATGATAGGAAAAAAACAAACAAACTGGGTGCTGCTGGATCACACCTGTAATCCTTGCTACTCAGGCTGAGATCTGAGTATCACAGTTTGAAGCCAGCCTGGGCAGGAAAAAAGTTGAGATTCTTTACTCCATCTGTCCACTAAAAGAGATAAAAGTGGAGCTTTGGCTCAAGTGGTAGAGTGCTAGCCTTGAATTTTGGAAAAAGCTGAGTTCAAGCCCTAGTACTGGTGTATACACGTGCATACAAGTTTCAGATTTGTCTACCTAGGTTAGCTTTAAACTTTGATTCTTAGATCTCAGCCTCCTAAAGTTAGGGTTATAGATAAGAGCCACTAGCACCCAGCCTGAGCATCTTGTAAATGTAAACTTTCTTTTCAGAACTACCACTTTATAGTATCTGACTGGGGAATCTTATGAGAAGGCTCAGTGAGCTAAATGGGGGGGAAAAAGCCAACTAAAAAAGCAAGTTGTTTTCTGACTTGAAGGGCTCTTTTATACAATGAAATCGAACTCCCTGCCATTATTTGTTTTCTTATATATTTAATTTGAAGAAATAAGGAGAAAATACGTACACAGGAGTTAATTATCATGTAAAAAAATAACAGTCGTTCTAACAAAGTCCTTTATCACCAAAGGTGACCACTTGTTCACATTTTATATAGTTCTGCATCTGTCTGTCTTGTCTGTCTATACCTGTCTATATGCCAAATAAATGTATCTCTTTTCTTAATGTAGATCATCTTATAAACAGTGTCCTACAGTTTTTTTAAAAAATGTTATTCACGGGCCAGGAAGGTGGCTCAGTGGTAGAGCACTTGCCTTGCATGCCTGAGGCCCTGGGTTCAATTCCTGAGCACCACATAAGCAAAAAGAAAAAAAGCTGGAAGCGGCGCTGTGGCTCAAGTGGTAGAGCTGAAGAGCTGAAGAGCTGAGGGATAGTGTCCAGGCCCAGAGTTCAGGCCCCACGACTGGACCCCCCCCCCAAAAAAAAATGTTATTCACCAATACTGGCAATTATTGTTAAGTTTTGAGTTTTTTTCTTTTTATTAGAGTATATTAATTGTAAAAAGAGGTTTCATTGTGATTTTGCAACGTGCATATAATGTATTACATATTGTCCCCTCCCTGTTTTGAACATGTGCTTAGAGCTTAGTTTGGATTCTCTTCTCTCCTCCCCCTCTCAGGAAGCTGCTTTGAGACGAGAGCAAAAGAAATTGGAGAAGAAGCAAATGAAAATGAAACAAATCAAAGTTAAAGCGATGTAAAATCATCCCAGGGATCTGAGTCCTTAATGCTTACCCCTAAGCTCTGAGTTCATAGGAAACAAAAAACAGGAGACCACTTCTCATCTTAAAATTGACATAATCTTGGTGACTGAGAAATCCTTATTTCATCAACTATTATACTCTTGGTTTGGAGTTTTTCAGAGATTGTCAACACAGTGAAAGGGCTCTGTTTCAGTAATTTTCTTCAGGCAATCAAATTATTTTGATTATTTTATAAAAGGAATGATATATAAATATATATGTAGTTTTAACATATTTTTTAAATTATAAATGAATTATCAGTGCTTTTAGTACTTTGATGTTTGAAAAACTATCATGAAATTTATAGGTAGCTAATTAGGTTGTTACTTTGTGTTTAAACTGGGCAGTTGAAAAGCTATGGAGGCTGACTCTAAACCAAGATTTTGCAAATAACTATTGGAATTACACAATAAATATTGCTTGGTGTTTTCTCCTGTGTCTACATTAAACGTGTGAAAATGTAAAATTTAGAACACTATGTGATAATGAAATTTCAATAATTCAAAACATAATGCAGTATATGTTTTATAGGAGGGATGTACTGATGACAGTATTATAGGAAACCTGAGTTATTAGGATACTTACACAGATGTGGAAAATTCTAAGGATAGATAATATAGGAACAAAGTTTTCTCCTTACCAGACACTATGAGCTGATGTCAATGTAAATGCTGAATTTTTTTTAGTGGTTGTATGTTTATTTTTCTTGAATAACAAATGCATGAACAATTAACAACTACTTCAGCTAGGTCAGATCAGCAATCAGGTCATTGGTCTCTGTGAGGTCAGAAGTATTTTTTCTTCTTAGCTGCTACAGCTTACTGAATGTTCTTGGGGGCTCTAATCTGTTATGGCCTTGTACCTTTGCTTCTCTCTCTGTTTTTATTTCTTCTGCAGTTGAGGCTGGGTATTTTCTTTCAAAGAAATAGTCATTGATATGCATAAATCTGCTTTTAAAAAAAATGAGCTTTCCTAAACTTTTGAGAGTTCTGCCTTTTGAGGAAGAAACTCTTGGGGGAGAGACCTATATAATCTGCACAAGCATTTGGCTTGTTCAGATTTCTGCATTTTATAAATGCTTCTTACTGAGAAAGCATTTTTTTTTAAGTTACTGCTTGTACCAGGTAATTTTTGTGGGAATGAGAAAGGGTTGGGTTTTGATGGGAGTGGGGTGGTGGGGTTCTTGTTGATGCTTTATGTGCAGGTCTGTTCTGAGGCAATGACAGTGAATTGCTATGAAAACAGCTGCTGCCCTTGTAACTGCATGGTAATGTGTCACCTGAGTGTCCTCTAGGTTCATACAGAAGTGTGTAAACTGGGAAATGTGGATATAATGTTTTTAACAGCTCACAGATCTAAAGTTACTAAAATGACAACACAAATATAATTAATGCTATATAATTTTAGACTTAATCTTGTTTTACAAACCTTCAAATCAAAGATGATGTGCTTATCTATCTCTTGAGAATATAAACTTTCTTAAAAGTCCCACACATTTGGACCATGGCAGCTAATTTTGTAATATAAACGTTCATATGAACTACCTATGGACATATATTAAACTGATTGACAAAATCTCAGAGTGTCGCCTGGACTTTTATGGAATTGTCCTACAACAGTATACACCTATAGGAAAGTTCTTTCAGACCAGTAAAAATTAGCACTGAAATGTTTTCGTTAAGAAAAGTTTACCTTGAATTTCCCTTTGTTGTCACCACTTACCACTTTAGGGTGCTTTATATTCTTAGACACACACACCCCTACCGCCCATATGTTCTGTTTTGCTGGCCTCACATTCACAATCCCTCTGCCTCAGCCTCCTAAATTCAGAGATAATGGTATATACCACTACATCTGGCTCCATGCTGTTAATGAGCTTCTTCCTACACTTCTGGTATCAGTCATCTTCCTGTTGCTGTGACAGATTGCCTGGAATAATCAATATAAAGTAGTAAAGCTTTTCTAGTAATGAAAAACCTCTCACTCTCAAGTACATGTGGACAGATACCTAGGTACTTTCCTAATATCCCCCCCCCCCCCCCCAAAACCGGGTCCGAGCTTGAACTCTGCCTGGGTGCTGCCCCTAAGCCTGTTTGTGCTCAACACTAATGATCTGCCACTTGAGCCACAGCACCACTTCTGGCTTTTTTTATGTTTTTTTAAAGAGTCTCACGCAGGCCTGGAAATGTGGCTTAGTGATAGAGTGTTTGCCTTGCATGCATGAAACCCTGGGTTTCGGGCTGGGAAGGTAGCTCAGTGGTAGAGTGCTTGCCTTGCATGCATGAGGCCCTGAGTTTGATTCCTCAGTACCACATGAGCAGAAAAAGCCAGAAAGTGGTGCTGTGGCTCAAGTGGTAGAGTGCTAGCCTTGAACTGAAAAGCTAAGGGATGGTGCCCAGGTCCACAGTTCAGGCCCCACAACCGGCAAAAAAACAAAACAAAAAAAAAACCTGGGTTCCATTCCTTAGTACCACCTAAGCAGAAAAAGGCTTGAAGTGGTGCTGTGGATCAAGTGGTAGAGTGCTGGTAGAGTGCTCTTGAGCAAAAGAAGCTCAGGGACAGTGCCCAGGCCCTGAGTTCCTGCCCCAGGACTGGCGCACACACACATAAAATGCTTTAGCTACTGCCCTACTACATACTGGACAGATTCAAAGTACCTCCATATTTAAATGTCGCTTTGTAATGCATGTAAGAAGTTAGGCAATTTCAAGCACAGCCATCTCTCAATTTCAAAGAACTGCTAGGATATTTGTAGTTTCTGCTGTAATCAACCTTGCTTTGTGAATTTACTCTTTTGTTGCTGAGGCATCTTGTTTTGAGAATGAGAAGATTTGAGGCAGTATTTTAGAATGTTAAAGCAGTAGGGAAGATCAGTGTTGTGAATAAAATAGAATGAGGTTGGTCAAGTACTGACCAATTTATAGCAAAATCCAAATAGTTTCAGCAGCCTCATTTGATCATTCCCTATTTGGATGTAGCTGAACTCCTTCCTCATCTTGGAAGCTAGGGCAGTAGAAATCTGTGTCGAAGTCAGAGCTGGAGAAAACTGTTTGTTTTTTTTTAACTTGATAAATCCACTTTTGGAACTTTCATGCAAGCTGAGTAAGTCACCAAAAAAACTACTGCAACATGGTGTAGTGATGCAGACTTGTCATCACAATAAGGGTAGGCAGGAGGATCACAAATTTGAGGCCAGCCTAGGCTATATAGAGAGAAAAAGATCCTAGATATCGCCATGTCTGTTGAGTTGGTATGCTTCAGTCTCTTCGACCCTTAACGACTGAGTGAGGTGTTTTGTGGTTTTGTTTTTGCGGTACCCTGGCTACCTGGGGTTGGACCCAAGGCCTTAGGCTTGCTAGACCAGCCTGCATCACTTGAGCTTTAGGCTCAGCCCTCGACCCTTTATTGAAATTTACTCTTAATTCCCTTTCTTCAGAGGGGTGGCGGCTCCGGGAACTTTTGAACCCTGTAGGCCGCAGCAGTGACAGGGAACCAACACCCATCAAAAGAAGGAATGCCCAAAGGTAGACGCAAAGCTGAGACCGGCAACAGTAGCAGAAAACCACGCTCCCCGCAGCAGCGTCCGAGGTCCAAGGCACTTGGAGGCCTGCTGAGATTCTGCGCCTGCGCGAGCCAAGATGACGTCTTATCCTTAGGACCGGACAGGAGGGCGGGGTCCGCTGGTGGGTGGGGCGGAGCGTGCAGGATCCCATCACTGCGCATGTCACGCTGCGTACGTCCCTCCCAGCAACCGGCCTGGCGGCGGCGCGGCCACAAAATTGAGGAGGCGGAGCCAAGACTGGGTCGGTACTGCTCGCTAACTCCAGCACCAGGTACCGGGTGTCGGGGCCGCCTGCTGCGCTGCGCGGATCTGTCCCTCCCGCCCCGTCGCCGTTTCCATCTCCTCAGGGGCGGGCCTTCGAGGCCATCTAGGCTCATCTTTGCCCTAGTCGGGCCCGCTTTAACTCGCGTCCTGGTTTCCCACGATGAGAGGTTGCAGCCGCCGAGGACAGGCTTGGGCCTGGCCGGGAGATACCGGAGTTCTCTTTCCTACGTCCCATTGGGGCTTCCAGATGGGGAGCCTGCGGGCCAAGGTGTCATCTTGTCCTGCTCCAGCAAAGTAGCAGCAGACCCTAGTGTCCATCTCATCCCTCTCGCCCACTGCCCTCACCCTCATGGGCTCTGCTCAACAGGCAGAGGGGCACCCCCCCCAAGAACCCAAGAGCAGGTGACCCCCTCAATTGCCCCAAACCTGAACATTCATGTACATGTCTCTGTGAACATATGTCTGAATTTCTCGAGGAGATAACAGGAGTAGTTTTGGCTTGGTTAGGTTTGATTTGGGGTTAGTTTTTTGTTGGTTGGTGGGTTAGTGCTTTGAAGGGAGAGGAGACAGACCTACCTTCTGTGCTCCAGTTCTTACAGAAATTCATTCATTCTTTTCACTATTAAAGATGTTAAGCCTGGGGTTGGGAAGGTGGCTCAGTGGTAGAGTGCTTGCGTTGCATGCATGAGGCCCTGGGTTTGATTCCTCAGCACCATATAAACAGAAGAAGCTGCAAGTGGCACTGTGGCTCTAGTGGTAGAGCGCTACCCTTGAGCTGAAGAGTTGAGGGACAGCGTCCAGGCCCAGAGTTCAAGTCCCATGACCGACAAAAAAAAAAATGTTAAACCTTAGCTTGTGTGTGTGTGTGTGTGTGTGTGTTTGTGTGTGTGTGTACACACGTGCGCATGAGTGCTGGTCCTGGTTGGACTCGTGGCCTGGGTGTTCTTTCTGAATTTCATTTTCATCAAGGCTAGCACTCTACTACCTGAGCTCCACTCCCAGCTATTTTAGTAGTTTTATTTGGAGAATCCCAGAAACTTTACTGCCCAGGCTGTCTTTGAACCGCGATCCTCAGATCTCAGCTTCCTGAGTAGCTAGGATTACAGGCGTAAGCTACCCGTGCCCCATTACCTTTATGCTTCCTAAATAGAAATTCCTTTTTATTTCTAGTTGGCTGAGAAGGGTGTTTTTCTCTGCCAGTCCTGGGGCTTGCACTAACAACCTAGACATTGTCCCTGAGTTGCTTTTGCTCAAGGCTAACATTCTACCACTTGAACCACAGCACCACTTCTGGCTTTTTCTGTTATGTGGTACTGAAGAATCAAACCCAGGGCTTCATGCATGCTAGGCAAGCACTCTGCCACTAAGTCACATTGCCAGTCTTTTTTTTTTTTTTGGGGGGGGGGTAGAGTGGAGAGGCAGTTGAGACAGGAAGATTATTTAGCCTAGGCTGACGTTGAATTTATGACCTTCTGCCTCAGTCTCCAAGTGTTGGGATTACAGAGAAATATGCCTGGTACTGGGATTGGATTTTGTCAGGTGCTTTTTCTCTATCTTTTGAGATGACCATATATTTTTTTCCTGTTTACTTAACAAAGATAAAATTAAATTGATTTTTTTTTCAATCCTGGGACTTGAATCTAAGGCCTCAAACTTGTTGGGGATGGGAGGTGTAACTTTACCACTTGACCTATGCCTCCAGCTCCCCTTGTTATTTTGAGACAGTGTTTCACTAACATCCTTTTTGCCTGATTGGCTTCAAACAGATCCTCCTATCTGCCTGTCATCTACCTGGCCATCCATTTACTTTTAACTTTTTGTTAGCTTTTCCTAACACTACTTGGTAAATCTCTTGGAACGTACTATTAAGCTTAGTTTACCACTAGCCTCTACAAATGCTAAAGCTAAGGATATTATAAATGACATATACAAAATATTTCTCCATTTTATTGTAGCCTACCTACTTATCCCCCCAGCCAATATATTTATTGCTTTTTTTTTCCAGTTGTGTGGCTTGAACTTGGCTTGGGCACTGTCCCTGAGCTCTTCAGGTCAAGGCAAACACTTTACCACTTGAGCCACAGTTCCACTTCCAGTTTTCTGGTAGTTAATTGGAGATAAGAGTTGCACAGAGTTTCCTGGATGGTCTGGCATTGAACCATGATCCTCAGATCTCAGTCTCCTTAATAGCTAGGATTACAGGTGTGAGCCAGTGAGGCAGGCTTGTTGCATTATTGATTTATAACTTTCTTCTTTTCTTTAGCTATCAAGTTCAGGAAACCACTTTCACTGCAGAATTTTCATGTTGTTCAGGGAAATTTGAGTCCGTGCTTCTGGGCCGTGGTCACTCATATTTGGCTCAGAATAAACCATTTTCTTTAAAGCATGGTTATTATTTCATATTAACAGTACCTTGGGAACTCAGCAAGAAACAAGTGAAGCAATTATTAACTCTAGGGGGAAAATAAAGTATGCAAGAAAGGCAGTGGGCTGAGGGCAACGGTAGTTATAGCATGTGGGAAGCCACCTGGGTTACATTTGATTTGAGAGGGGGGCATTGTCCTTCTCTACTTGCCTCAGCTATGAACCATATTTGCATAGTCACAGTAATGTAAAAATGAGTTATTGATTTAACAAGACATAGCAGAACAATGTGGGGAAGGGTAGGGAAGTGATGTGGGAGCGTTTAGTCTTCATTTACCATGGTAGATAAATGTCTAAGATTAATAAGTCATAACCATATATACATTATTCAAAAGTAATTTGTGTGTGTGTGTGCGCGCGTGCGTGTGTGCGTGTGCCGGTCTTGGGGCTTGAACTCAGGACCTGGGCACTGTCCCTAAACTTTTTTGCTCAAGAATAGGGCTCCAGCTGAGATCTGAGGATCGCGGTTCAAAGCCAGCCCGGGCAGGAGAGACCTTGAGACTCCTATCTCCAATAAACCACCAGAAAACCGGAAGTGGCGCTGTAGCTCAAGTGGTAGAGCGCTCTCCTTGAGCTGAAGGACAGCGCCCAGGCCCAGAGTTCAAGCCCCACGACCGACAAAAAAACAAAAACAAAACAAAAAAAAGAATAGGGCTCTACCACTTGAGCCACAAATCCACTTCTGGCTTTTTTGGTAGTTAATTGAAGATAAGAGTCTCACAGGCTTTCCTGCCTGAACTGGCTTCAAATCGGGATCCTGAGATCTCAGCTTCCTGAGTAGCCAGGATTATAGGTGTGAGCCACCAATGCCTGGCTAGCAAGTTTTTTGGTTTTTGTTTGTTTGTTTTAGAAACAATAAGTAGCTAGAAGAAATGAATCGCTTCTGGGAAGAACTCAGTCAGGCACTGGATCAGGAGAAATTTTAAAATTAATTTAAAGACAGCCATAAAACCAGGCATGGTACTTGGGAGGCTGAGGCCAGAGTACTGAAGGTTTGAGCTGGGCGCTGGTTGCTTACTCCAATAATCCTAGCTACTCTGGAGGCTGAGATCTGAGGATTGAGGTTTGAAGCCAGCCCAGGCAGAAAAGTCCCTGGGAGACTCTTATCTGTAGTTAAGTACTCAAAAACCAGAAGTTGAGCTGTGGCTCAAAGTGGTAAAGCCCTAGCCTTAAGCAAAAAGAGCTCAGGGACAGCGCTCAGACCCCGAGTTTAAGCCCTATGACTGACAAAAAATAAAATAAAGAAGGTTTGAAACCAGTCTGGGTTAGATAGCAAGATCCTGACTCAAAAACCAAAAGAAGCCAGGCACCAGTAGCTCACACCTGTAATCCTAGCTATTGAGGAGGCTGAGATCTGAGGATCCAGGTTCAAAGCCAGCCTGTGTAAGAAAGTTATCTCTATTTAACCACCAGAAAACTGGAAGTGGCGCTGTGGTTCAAGTGGTTCAGCCTTGAGCTGAAGAGCTGAGGGACAGCACCCAGGCCCAGACTTCAAGCCCCACAACTGACCTAAGAAAAAAAGGAGTATGAGGAAGACTAGGAGAAAAAGTAGAAGAAATAACAAACTTTTCTTTCCTTTTTTTCTGCCTCATCCTTGCTTTTTTTTTTTTTAATAGAATCTTGCTAGGTAGCCCAGGCTGGCCTTGAACTTGCAATTCTCCTACCTCAGCAGGGATTATAATAGGTGCTTGACACCAAGCCCAGCTCCAAACTGTTCATATAAAAATTTCAGAATTTCAGCATATATATTTGGTCTTAGCCAATGCATATATAAATCTCACTGAAAACCTGAGTACTGGTGGATCATGCTTATAATCCTAGTTACTCAGGAGATTGAGATCTGAAGATTACAGTTCAAAGCCAGCCAGGGCAGGAAAGTCTGTGAAACTCATCTCCAATTAACAACTAGAAAACTGGAAGTAGATCTGTGGCTCAAAGTGGTAGAGTGCTAGCCTTGAGCAAGAAGAGCTCAGAGACAGCACCCAGGCTCTGAGTTCAAGCCCCATGACCAACAAAAACAAAAGAAGTTTCGCCAAACAAATATTTAGAATCTACTCTTATAGGTCTACTGTGGTGCTTTGAATGGTGGATCCATAATTATTTTTTAATCAAGAGCTATTTCTATAAAAGGAGATTTGACTAACTTAACCTGTTTCTATTTTACTTTTAGGTTTAAGTTTTTCACATTGAAGTAGGTCTACACATTAGGAACTCATGTCTTTTCTTGTAAGTAAACCAGAGCGAATTAGGGTGAGTGTTTTCATTCTCCTGGCTTTACTATTTTCTTTTCTAAAAAGTAAACTGTTTGTGTAGATGTTGTAGGTATTTTTTTAATGTGATACTCAAAATCATGTAGAAGTAAGGTATGTAGGAAGTAAGACAGGTATTGTGGCCTCTACTCCTGAGAAAAAAGAGCTTGCAGGCAGAGACTGACTTGAGATCCAGAATATACAACAAGTTAATCTGACAGAAAGAAATGAGGACTTACTTTATAAATGAATGTTAGTCATACATTAAATGACTTGACCCTATTCAGTGTAGATTCATAGCTGCCAATGAGCTCTCTATTTCCTATTTTTGATGGGATTATATTTTTAAAATCTGTACCAAATTGCAATGCAAATCAAATGTAGTCATTAGTATTAATTGAAGAGTTTTAAAAATTAAACCTGAGGGCTGGGAATGTAGCTTAGTGGTAGAGTGCTTGCTTAGCAGGCATGAAGCCCTGGGTTTGATTCCTCCATACCACATAAGCAGAAAAAGCCGGAAGTGGCACTATGGCTCAAGTAGTAGAATGATAGGCTTGAGCAAAAGGAGCTCAAGAATCATGCCCAGGTCCTGAGTTCAAGCCCAAGAACTGGCAAAAAAAAAAAAAATTAAACCTGAAATTTTTTTTGTTCAAAACTTCATCTGTCAAAATGACTGTAAAAACAAATATTGGACTTAGAGGGGCTGGGAAGGTGGCTCAGAGCTCTTGCCTTGCATGCCTGAGGCCCTGGGTTCGATTCCTCAGCACCACATAAGCAAAAAGAAAAAAAAGCCGGAAGTGGCGCTGTGGCTCAAGCGGTAGAGCGCTAGCCCTGGGCTGAAGAGCTGAGGGACAGCTCTCAGGCCCAGAGTTCACGCCCCACGACCGGACCCAAAAAAAAACAAAACAAAACAAATATTGGACTTAGTATCTTAGCTCTCCTGGTTTCACAAAATAGTATATTTTTTATTATTAAGTATTAGTTCATAAACACAGTAATAATTATTAGTATTTTTTAATTTATTTATTTTGCTGGTACTAAGGTTTGAACTCAGGGCCTGCTTGGCTGGTGTTCTACCACTTGAGCTATACACCCAGCCTTATTTAAAAATTTTAACAGCATATAAGTACTATGACCGGCCACTGGTGGCTCACACCTGTAATCCTAGCCACTCTGGAGGCTGAGATCTAAGGATCGTACTTCAAAGCCAACCAGGCAGAAAAGTCCCTGTGAGACTCCTAGCACCAATTAACCACCCAAAAACCAGAAGTGGTATTGTTGCTCAAAGTTGTAGAGCACTAGCCTTAAGTGAAAGAGCCCAGGCCACAAGTATTTACTACCCATTTCTTCAAGTATTACAGCAGGAATTCTATTTTATGGGTATAGTGCATATTAAACTTTTATATTTTTAACTTATTTTTTAATTTATATATTAAAAAAAGTGGTAGAACCCTAGCCTTGAGCAAAAGAGTTCAGGGACAGCACCCAGGCCCTGAGTTCAAGCCCTACAACCGGCCAAAAAACAAAAAATGAAAATGAAAGAAGGGGTGACATTGACCAGGAAGCATCGTACTCATAACCTGACTTATAAAACTGTACCCCTTTGTACAATTACTTAATATAACTATTTAATAAGTTATAAGTTTAAAAAAAGAAAAATTAGCCAGGCACTGGTGGCTCATGCCTATAATCCTTGCTACTCAGGAGACTGAGATCTGAGGATCACGGTTTAAAGCCAGGCAGGAAAGTCCATGAGACTCTTATCTCTAATTAACAACTAGAAAACTGGAAGTGGCGCTGTGGCTCAGGTGGTAGAGCACTAGCCTTGAGCTGAAGAGCTCAGGAACAGCACCCAGGCCCAGAGTTCAAGCCCCACAACCACCACCAACAACAAATTATTATAGAAAGGACAATGATTCAGTAATTCCAATTGAGAATCCATAGCCAACATTTTTTAGAATGTTCCTTAATCTTCCTTTTTCTTATATGTATAAGAACAATTTATATTGTAAAGAGTAAACAAGTGTTAATTAAGATGAGAAAGTGAATCTCTTCTTAGCCTATACTCTGCTCAGCGGAAAGAATGCCTCTATGCCAAACTTTAACACTAGTCCTTAAGTGAAATACAATCCTGATTCCATTGCTTTTAAATATGAGCTACTTTCTTGTTTTAACCTAGCCTGATTCAGGTGAAACCAAACCACTGATAAGTATAATAGAAATATAATACTCATTTGAAATAGGCTGGTAAAGAGAACCAGAGGGTTGGTCGTTGTGAACTTGGTAGAAAATGTAAACAGTGATATTTTTAGAAATTCTTTATGGATAAAAGAATATTCTACTTCTGTGTTTTTACAGACTAATGGAAGCTTATGAAAAACTGCTGTTTAATTCCTATTTTTTTAATTCCAATAATATTTTTCAAATTGGCATTAATGATCCAAGGCATCTGTAGCAGATTCTTTGCAAAACTTTTCCTTAGGAATATATTGTAACTGAACTGCATGATTCTGTTTTTCTGTAGTCATAGTTTTGTCTTGTCTGCCTAAAGGTTTATAGCTAATTCATTATGGCTTGGAAGACATACTAATTCTCTTTGGGGTTTTCCTCTTTAGCGGTGGGTCTCGGAAAAGTTCATTGTTGAGGGCTTAAGAGATTTGGAACTATTTGGAGGTAAGTACAATATGGCACTCAGCCATCATTCAGGATAAATATCATTCTCCCTCTGTTGACTACATCAATTTATAAAAATTAGCAACTTAAAGATCAAGTGAAATTGCTCTTCTTCCTGTTAGAGTTGAATTCTTTTTAAATCCATTTGTTTCCCAACAATTGATGTACTAATCTAGCCTGTCTTGATCTGGCCTGTCTTGATTTTTAGAAAGCCAGTGCATTGCTTACTTACAGGCACATTCACTTCTAAGTATGTCCAGTTGAAATGCATATTGTTAAAGGGGGAAAGCTAAGTGTTGAAAAAAATGTCTGCCTTTGAAGATTGCTTTAAAAAATCTTAATAAGGGGCTGGGAAGTTGGCTCAGTGGTAGAGCGCTTGCCTTGCATGCCTGAGGCCCTGGGTTCGATTCCTCAGCACCACATAAGCAAAAAGAAAAAAAAAGCCAGAAGTGGCACTGTGGCTCAAGTGGTAGAGTGCTAGCCTTGAGCTGAAGAGCTGAGGGACAGCACTCAGGCCCAGAGTTCAAGCCCCACAACTGGACCAAAAAAAAAATCTTAATAGGCCAAAGATAAGGGTAGCAATATTATTATGAAAGTTCTGTTTTTGTTGATCTATCTTGTTAACTCATTTTTCCATGGCAAAAATTTGAAACTTAAGAGAGCTAAGGGGAAAAAAAATCTTATCAAGAAAAAACATACTAACTTCTTGTTAAATCTAAATGTCTACTTCAAAAGTAAAGTAGATTGCAACTGGGTTTGAAAGGACTACACATAACCAGGAACTGGTGGCCCATGCCTGTAATCCTATCTACTCAGGATGCTGAGATATAAGGATTGAGGTTTGAAACTAGCCCAGGCATGAAAGTCCAAGAAACTCTCACCTACAATGAACTGCCAGAAAACTGGAAGTGGCACTGTGGCTCAAAGTAGTAGAGCCCTAGCCTTGAACGAAAAAGCTCAAGGACATTGCCCAGGCACTGAGTTCAAACCCCAGGACCAATGACAACAACAACAACAACAAAAGGCTTAGACTTTTCCTTTTTGATAGTTTTCAGTGAGGCTTTTAGGGAATAATGATTTTTTTTCTTTTAAATTTGAACTCAGAGCCTTGTGCTTGCTAGGAAGGCCTTCTACACTTGATTCAGAACAAAGAAAATCCTTTCTATAAAAATTATATTAGGAGAGGAACAAAAAGGCATAATACCTAATACTTATCGAAATGAATGCCAAGAAATGGAAACAAAATTATAGTAGTCAGAGGCTGAGATCTGGGAATTGAGGTTTAAGGCCAGCCTTGAATCCAAAGACAAATCCAAAAGACTCTTAGTGCCAATCATCCAGTAAAAAAAAAAAAAAAGAAATGGAGTTGTGGCTCAAGTGGTAGAACACCAACCTTAAACAGAATAATTAAGCAAGAGTGGAAAGCCTTGAGTTCAAGGCCCCTCAGTATATATTCTATTCTTTGAGTCTGAATATCATGATACTATTAGGATTGGTTGACTGATCCATAGTATCCCCAAACAGGCTAAATAATTGAAGTATCAAACTTGTGATATCTACTGATTTATTTTCCCTAATGCATCTCTGAGAAATGTGGAGTAGTAGCATTTATGAACTTTGTGAAGACATTTTAGACAGATGGAAAATTAGGGGAAAAATGAGTTATTTTTATCTCAGAATGGTTAAACATTAGCTTTACATAAAGATGAACAACAAAAAAGCTGTTCAGCTTCTTAGTTTCCCCATTTTTCATAGATTAAGATAGCTTGAAAGTAAGTATTGGCACTAATAGTGCAAGGTCAACTTACAGTTAGTTCATTGCAAATATTTCAGTATATATGAATTGAATGAAGGATTTTGTATTTAGTATCTTGACTCTACAATCAAGATCCTATGATCTTGGCTATCTTTTGATAGGTCCTACTGTCTTATATTAGGAGGGTTAAAAAAGTGACTATGTATTGTTAAAATTTGATGAAGTCTGTATTACCAAATTTTATACAAACTGGAATTTTAGTTTCTATTCAGGAATAGTGAGTTAGATTTCCTTTAATCTGTTCACCTGACTTCTTGACTGTCTTAAGCAACCACTTCTGCTGTCATTTACCAAAATGCTAATGTCTAAAAGGGGGGAAACTCCTATTTTGATAAATTAAGGCTGATTTACTCTGCAGTTGATCTCCTTTAGCAATATAGCTGAGTACTGTAATACAGCCTATAAGAAAGAATTTTCCTTAGTGGTAGACTTACACCTTTGATTTCGTATAGGCATTTCTCAGATGTGTGTAATTGCTCCGAGTCCTTATAGTTTACAATTCTTGTTTCTTTTTTTTCAAGCAGGTAGTACAATTCTTGTTTTTTGCTTTTGCTGTGCTAGGAATGAAATTCAAGTCATGCTAGGCAAGGCTTCTACTCTTGAACCATCTCCCTAGCTTCCAATATATGGTTCTTACCACCTTTACAAAATGAGGAAAATCAAAAGCATATAAGAGATTTGTGTGATTCATGGACAGAAATTTGTTTTAATTGTTGTATGATATATTCATCTTCACTGTGAGTAGCTGAATACTAAAAACCCCTTGTTCGCTGGGCACTGGTGGCTCATGCCTGTAATCCTAGCTACTCAGGAGGCTGAGCTCTGAGGATCTCAGTTTAAAGCCAGTCCAGGCTGTGAGACTCTTATCTCCAGTAATCAAACCACCAGAAAACCAGAAGTGGTGTTGTGGCTCAGTCATAGAGGGCTATCCTTGAGCTGAAGAGCTGAGGGACAGCACCCAGGCCGACAAAAAATAAAAATAAATAAAAAAATAAAAACCCCTTGTTCATTTGCATTCAGAATAGGAAGTATCTGACTTTGAAAAAACAAATTTGGCAATGATCCCTTGTATATAAATATATATTTTTTGCCTTCAAGGCAAAACACTTCCTGGGAAATCACCCACCTTATTTGTGACTTTAAAATGAATTTTAGGAGTTTGGAATATAGCTCAATAGTGGATTGCTTGCCTAGTATGTATTTGATTCCCAACACAGAATCAGGAGTAGAAGGGGAAGGATGGAAGATGAATTTTTGTTCACAAAGTATAAGACTGAAACTGGCCTATTCAAAACCTCATTGTGTGTTGTGCAAATGTCAAGTAAATGTATGAGCAGATCTGCAGCAGTTACATCATACCCTGTAAAGAAGCCCTGTAGAACCGAAGCCTGGGCTTCCTGTTTAAAACCCCAGCTAGCTGCAGTGTTTTCACTGTAGGTCTCTGTGTGTGTCTGTGTTTCTGTGTAGCACTGTAGGCACTTACTGCTGTAACAACTCAAGTGGTTTCTATAAATACATGTAGTCTGAAGTGTAATAATTACTGTTCTGAATGTGGGTGTGTCTTCTGTTAAACAACAAAATGCCAACAATCCATCTCTCTACTTCAGAGCAGCCTCCGGGTGACACTCGGAGAAAAGTAAGTGACTATGTAGGCTCTAGCACTATGGTTGTTGCATGGAGATCACTTCTTGTGGAAGTTTGTATTTTTTGTTGGCATATCATTTTATGTTTATGCTTCTCTGCCACTGAGCTTTATTTGTAGTATAATTCTGTTACTTATGGGAGTTCAGGTTTCACCCTGGAAAGACTGATGGGTAGTTTTAAAAGCCAAAAAAAAAAAAAGTTTCTGGTACTTGTTAACCCTCTTCTGGAGATTAAGGTCTCTTTCTCTTCCCAGCTCTTCTAATTACCCATTGTACTTTCTCACCACAAAATAAGTTTCACCATTCTGAAATGTGATTACCTTTTAGTATCTGGGATTTCCAATATATCTCTCTTTAGTCTATTAATAATAAATTTCAGGCTGGGAATGTGGCTTAGTGGTAGAGTGCTTGCCTAGCATGAAGCCCTAGGTTTAATTCCTCAGTACCACATAAACAGAAAAAACTGGAAGTGGTGCTGTGGTTCAAGTGGTAGAGTGCTAGCCTTAAGCAAAAGAAGCTCAGGGACAGTGCCCAGGCCCTGAGTTCAAGTCCAGGACTGACAAAAAATAAATAAATTTCAGTCCACAGAGATAATATGTATCTCTATATATGTCATAAGGCAGGACTTCAAGCTATTTTAAAAACAAAATGAAAATTTAAAAACAGATGCTAAAGGTGTGGCTCAAGTGGTAAAGTGTGCACTTGGCAAGCTTGAGATACTGAGTTCAGTCTCCAGTCAAAAAAAAAAAAAAGTAGAGCCTTGGGGCGCCCCGCTTCCGGCTTCGGGTCAGGGTCTGGGCCGAGGCGCGGCTGGCATCATGTCTGGCCGCGAGGGTGGCAAGAAGAAGCCCCTGAAGCAGCCCAAGAAGCAGGCCAAGGAGATGGATGAGGAAGACAAGGCCTTCAAGCAGAAACAGATAGAGGAGAAGAAGAAACTCGAGGAGCTGAAAGCGAAGGCCGCGGGGAAGGGGCCCCTCGCCACAGGTGGAATTAAGAAATCTGGCAAAAAGTAAGCTGTTTGTTGTCCCTCAGATGATGGTGACCCTTGATTCCATTCTCATTCAACATCTGGATTTCCTGTAGTAACATTTCTGCCATCTAAAGGTAGAATGAAGTTTTGTCTAGGACTCTGAACTTTAAGAACAACCTTTAAAAAAAAAAATCCTACAGTGGCTCAGTCTCTAGTTTGTCAGCCATTGTGTCAGCCATTGCTATCTCAGCTGTAAATTTCAAGTAAACCCAGCCTAGGTTCCTGCCAGAGTCTGCTCTTTGTTCTACTCTTGCATTCTGTATCATCTTGAAAGTAAACCAACTCATTTAAAAGGCTGCCCTTCTTGTGTTGTATATCCAGTGGATTACCTTATCTGTGTCTAGTGGAAAATTTTATACTTTGAAGAGAAAAAAAAACACCTTTGCCAAGCTGGTCAAAAAAAAAAAAAAGTAGAAAACAAAGCTGGGTGTGGTGATTTATATACCTGTAATCCCAGCATGCAGGAGGTAGAGGAAGGATCATAACAAATTCAAGGCCAGCCTGGGCTATAATACATTGTCTCAAAACAGCAAATAAATAAAATGAAACAGCACTTGAGAGACTGAGGCAAAGTGATTATAAACTCAAGGCCAGCCTGGGCTACATAGCTGGATCTTGTCTCAAATACCCCTTACACGCCTCCAGGAAAGCACAAAAACAGAAGATTGACATTTTCCATTGTCAGAGGCTCTAAAACTTTCTGTTTCCTCTTCTTTCAGTTTATTTTACCTAAGTAAATAGCACCAGATACACCCAGTGTGCCAAGCTGTTTTGGAAAACATGAATCAGTGTCTTTTTTTTTTTTTTTTGGGTCCGGTCGTGGGGCCTGAACTCTGGGCCTAGGCACTGTCCCTCAGTTCTTCAGCTCAAGGCTAGCGCTCTACCACTTGAGCCAGAGGGCCACTTCCAGCTTTTTTCTTTTTTTTTTTGCTTATGTGGTGCTGAGGAATTGAACCCAGGGCCTCGAGCATGCAAGGCAAGCGCTTTACCACTGAGCCACCTTCCCAGCCCGAATCAGTGTCTTATAGAGAGGGAATAAGAAGATCTAAAGTAAGTAGCCCTTGCTCAGCCATGCTTTTCACAGGCAGCCCTGGGCAAGCAAAGGATGATGATGCTGGTGAGGAATTTTTCTTTGAATAACGACTTGACTGCTTATAACCTCTGCTGGTCAGGAGCATCTCTTTATCACATCAAATGTTTTCCATTCAAAGAGACCAAATACTTTCCCTATAGGATTGTGTAGATGTTTTGGTTTTTTTCCAGAGTAAAATGCCAATTGTATACAATTTTCATATAATCACACTTATTGATGTTGTACCAGAAACTATCCTGTGTGAAACCTGTGGAAAGTTAGTTGTGTTTATCCAGTAGCATTTCGTATATATTGTCTTCATATGCTTCATTGTATTTTGTTTTAAACTCTTTTTACAAAGTTATTATTTTTTATCATTTCTGGATGTTAATAGCTTGTGTATTTTTTCAAATGCTTCAGAATGAATAAAGTGGCTTTTCATGGCATGGGAAACTAACAAAAAGACTTTAATAGAATTAGTTTCTTTCCCTGAGAAATTTGACATTATACATGATAGTAATAACATTATGGGGGGGGGGTCCGGTTGTGGGGCCTGAACTCTGGGCCTGGGCGCTGTCCCTCAGCTCCTCAGTCAAGGCTAGCTCTCTACCACTTGAGCCACAGCACCACTTCCGGCTTTTTTGCTTATGGTGGTGCTGAGGAATCGAACCCAGGGCCTCATGCATGCAAGGCAAGCGCTCTATACCATTGAGCCACCTTCCCAGCCCCACTAATAACATTATGTTATGCTGTGTTTAAAGAAAATAGGCTAAGCCTGGCACTAGTGGCTCATGCCTGTAATCCTAGCTACTCAGGAGACTGAGATCTGAGGATGGCAGTTCAAAGTCAGCCTGGGCTGGGAAGTCCATGATTATCTCTAGATAATCACCAGAAAACTGGAAGTGGTGCTGTGGCTCAAAGTGGAATACCACTAGCTTTGAGCAAAGAGCCCAGGCACAGTGCCCAGGCCCTGAGTTAAGCCTCATAACTGACAAGAAAAAAAAAAAAAGAAAGAGAAAATGGACAAAACATTACATTCTTTCCATCTGAATTTAGACTTTCAAAGATTTGAAATAGGCTTGGTGGCTCACACCTATAATCCCAGCTACTCAGAAGGCTGAGATCTGAGGATTGTGGTTGGAAGCCAGCCCAGGCAAGAAAGTCCACAAGACTTTTTCCACCCCCATCCCCACTCTCCCCCTCGCCCCCCCCTCCCCCCCTGCTACCCAGTCGTGGGCCTGAACTCTGGGTCTGGGTGCTGTCCCTCAGCTCTTCAGCTCAAGGCTAGCTCTCTACCACTTGAGCCACAGTGCCACTTCTGGCTTTTTCTGCTTATGTGGGGCTGAGGAATTGAACCCAGGGCCTCATGCATGCAAGGCAAGCACTCTAACACTTAGCCACCTTCCCAGCCAGAGACTTTTTTTTATTTTTTGCCAGTCCTGGGGCTTGAACTCTGGGCCTGGGCACTGTCCCTGAGCTTCCTTTGTTTCCTTTGTTCTAGGCTAGCAATCTACCACTTGAGCCACTTTCAGCTTTTTCTGTTTATGTGACACTGAGGAATCGAACTCAGGGCTTCATGCATACTAGGAAAACACTCTACCACTAAGCCACATTCCCAGTTGCTCCACGATACTCTTTATCTCCAATTAACCAGCATAAAGCAAGCTGGAAGTGGAGGTGTGACTCAGGTGGCAGAGCTTTAGCCTTGATCAATAAAACCAAAGCAAGCTTGAGGCCTTGAGTTAAATCCCGGGTATTGAAACAGAAACAAGAAAATCTGAAACAAAATAATAAACTAATCTTCTGCTCCTGTGTCAGTGTCAAATCAGACCTCTTCCTTTCACAATAATGCCTTTGTTTCCTGGCCCATTTGTTTTCCTTCCTAAGTAAAAGTTGTCCCTCTGACCTCTAAATTAGCCATAGCAAGCACTAAACTAGTCCATAGTCCATCCTGTTCCACATTGTCTAGGAGTCCATTTTCCCAATTATCCAAAGAATTTTATTTTCTAAATAATTTTTCTTTTCCTCGCCCCCTTTCTGTTGCTCCCCCTTCTGTCTCTGTCTTTCTCTTTCTCTCTCTGATAGTACTGGGATTTAAAATCAGGGCTTCCCACTTGGTAGGTAAGTATTCTACTGCTTAGCCATGCCTCCAGCCCTTCTTTTGGTCAGCCATGGGGCTTAGACTCAAGGCACAGGTGCTGTCCCTGAGCTGTTTTGCTCAAGGTTAGTACTCTAGCACTTTGAACTTTAACACCACTTCTGATTTTCTGTGGTTAATTGGAGATGAGAGTCTTACAGACTTTCCTGCCCCTGCTGGCTGTGTACTACAATCCCAAGATCTCAGCCTCCTGAGTAGCGAGGCTTACAGACGTGAGCCACCAGTACCCATCTTCTCCAGCCCCTTTTTATACAAGGTGTTGTTGGTAGTGGTAGTAGTAGTAGTAGTAGTAGAAGTAGTAGTAGTAGTAGTAGTAGTAGTAGTATTTGTAGGTCATGGACTTGAACTCAGGGCCTGGGCTATGTCCTTGAGCTTTTTTTGCTCAAGGCTAGCAGTCTACCAGTCTGAGCCACAGCACCACTTCTGGTTTTCTGGTGGTTTATTGGAGTCTCACAGACTTTCCTGCTGGGACTGGCTTTGAACCGTGATCCTCAGATCTCAGCCTTCTGAGTAGCTAGAATTACAGACATGAGCCACCAGCACCTGGCTTGTGAGACTCTTTTCTCCAATTAACCACCAGGAAACTGGAAGTTGTAGTTCAAAGTGGCAGAGTACTAGCCTTGAGCAAAAAGAGCCCAAGGACATCACCCCAGGCACTGAGTTCAAGCCCCATGATCGAGGGAAAAAACATTTCATAGGTTTTAACTGTCAAGTCTATTGTTAGAAAGGACAAGCAGATTGGCAGTAGTCTAGAATAGGCCGTTGTCATTCCCCCACAATTTGTAGGTTTCATCAATACTTCCTCGCTCTGATGTGAGTGCTGGTTCCCACATTGAACCTGTGGTGTTTTATTTCTCCATGAAGAGAGCAGGTCTTGTTTCTTTGCTACAAAGCAAGGATGTATAGATTTGTCCTGATGACATCTCTTCATGGGTCTAAATTACCACCTCCACCCCACTCCTATCTCACCCCAAGGTTTCTTGGTTAACCTATTTTTCTTTTTCTTTAGACCAATGAGGCAAGCTCAGAGTCGATAGCATCCTTCTCCAAACAAGAGATCATGAGTAGCTTTCTGCCAGAGGGAGATTGTTATGAGCTTCTCACCATTATAGGTAATGTTCAGGAACCCCTTTGCTTTCCTGTTCCAGGGGACTGCGGTAGCTTTCTCAGCTAGTTAGTAGGATCCACGGTGACAAAACTGGCTCTCTGGGTCTTCTTTGGGCTGGCTTTGAACTGTAATCCTCAGTAGCTAGGATTACAGACATAAAGCCACTGGCACCTAGCTGGGAGAATTTTTTTTTCTGATTTTCCCTTTGGGGCTGGCACATATGGTTCCCTGGGCATAGTCAGTTAGAATAGTTGGCTGAGAAGAAACCTATTGAAAAAAGTAAGGATGTGTCAAAAGGAAGAGTAGTAAAAATGTAACTATAATTTTTGGTTGCAGTCAAGTCCCTTTTCCTTTAAAGGAGACATGGTTTGTGGAGAGATACAACCAACCAGCAAAAGCATCAGATTCAGAGTTGAATCCCTGTCTTGGAGGATGGGGGGGGACAAAGGGGGGAGGAAAGGGAAGGGAAGGGAGGCAATAAAAACCTTTGTAGCTAGCCGGGTACCAGTGGATCACACCTGTAATCCTAGCTACTCAGAAAGCTGAGATCTGAGGATCGTGGTTCAAAGCCATCCTGGGCACGAAAGTCCATGAGATTCTTATCTCCAATAAACCACCAGAAAACTGGAAGTGGCACTGTGGCTTAAGTGGTAGAGCAATTGCTTTGAGCTGATGAGTGCAGGGACAGTGCCCAGGCCCAGAGTTCAAGCCCCACAACCGACACACACACACACAAACAAACACCTTTGTAGCTGTTGTTCTTTTCTTTTAGGCAAAGGATTCGAGGACCTGATGACAGTGAATTTAGCAAGGTACAAACCAACGGGAGAGTATGTGACAGTACGAAGGATTAACCTAGAGGCTTGTTCCAATGAAATGGTGACATTTTTGCAGGTAATAAAACATGACTGTAACACTTAGAGGGTGAGCTGTGGCTTCATAATAATCGCAAAGCATCTCTCACTTTAGTCTTGTGAACATTCCTGGCAGGAAACAAAAATGGTTTAGACATCTATCATGGAAGCTTTCAATAGGAGGCCCTTAGGCATTTCACACTGAGGAGTGAGCCGTAATGCTGTACAGCACAGCTTATACTCCATTCTTCTTCATTTATTCACTTAGTAGTATTCACTTGGTCACATGTAGCAGCAGAGGCAGAAATGAGACCCAGGCAGCCTTGTTTGAGATGTTGGGCTACCTGCTCTGCCACTGGCTTTTAGTATCCTGTTTGTCTGAGGTTGGTTTCTGTTCAGTGAGCAGAAAGCTGGTCTTTTGTTAAACTGAAAGAGCTTGAAGGTCTAGGAATCTACCAGAGGCCAGACTCCCTGTGGCTGATGCTACTTGGACTAGAACTCAGCTCTGTATGTGTTGGGTACGGTGGCTTGTGGTCCCTGTCCCTTCTTCATCTACAGTGTTTTCCTGAATGGATGCTTATCTAATGGTGCTGTAGTTCCAATTCATCTGTTTGGACTAGTGTGGATTATTTTATTTTAATTCTTAAACCAATTTTTTTTTTGGGTCCGGTCGTGGGGCCTGAACTCTGGGCCTGGGTGCTGTCCCTCAGCTCTTCAGCTCAAGGCTAGCGCTCTACCACTTGAGCCACAGCACCACTTCCGGCTTTTTTCTTTTTGCTTATGTGGTGCTGAGGAATCGAACCCAGGGCTTCAGGCATGCAAGGCAAGCGCTCTACCACTGAACAGCCTTCCCAGCCTCCAATTCCTAAACCAATTATTGAGCCAACTACTGTTGTTGGTTTTTCACTGGGACTGGGATTTGAACTCAGTACTTCGTTGTTGCTAGGAAAGTGCTCTACTACTTGAATTACATCTCCAGGCCTAATTTAGAGTAGTTTGGTAGGACAGAAGATGAAGCAGAAGATCAATCCCAGCTTAATTATTTGAGGAAAAAAAGCACATCCAAGTTTGTTCTGGATCAGGTTAGACGCTATGATTTTCTGAATTTTATTATCTGAAGCATGGACAGAAGCTACAGCCCACTGGCTTTAGCTGTATCCCAGAGCCCAGGATCTTGGAATTCCTGGGTTCTTTTATCTTTTTTATATATATATATTTTTTTCTAGGGCTGCTTCTGAGAAAGGAATCAATCTCTCAATTTGAGGCTGCTGGAAAAATGCGTAATAATATTTAGTAGTTATTGTTTTTTTTCTTGTTTTTTTTTGGGGGGGGTCTGGTCTTGGGGCCTGAACTCTGAGCCTGGGCGCTGTCCCTCAGCTCAAGGCTAGCGCTCTACCACTTGAGCCACAGCACCACTTCCGACTTTTTTCTTTTTGCTTATGTGGTGCTGAGGAATCAAACCCAGGGCTGCATGCATGCAAGGCAAATGCATGCAAGGCAAGTGCTCTACCACTGAGACACCTTCCCAGCCCCAAGTTATTGAGGTTTTTAAACAATATTTTCTTCTATTTTTTTATATCATAGAAAAATAGTCTTTTTTTAATCCTTTAGCATCACTTAGTTTTACAAAGTGATGCCATTTTGACATGTCCATATATGTATATTCTATGTGCCTGATGAGACTCACTCCTTCTGTTACTCTCCCTCATCCACTGCCACCCTTTCTAAGTTATTACCCCCTTTTGGTTTGTTTTTGAGACAGTGTCACTATGTAACCCAGGTTGGCCTTGAACTTTTGATGTTCCTACCTTAGACTCCAGAGTGGGATTCTTTTCTTTTCTTTTCTTTTGAGGGGGGTCTGGTCGTGGGGCCTGAACTCTGGGCCTGGGAGCTGTCCCTCAGGCTCTTCAGCTCAAGGCTAGCACTCTACCACTTGAACCATAGCGCCACTCCCGGCTTTTTTTTTTCTGCTTATGTGCTGAGGAATCGAACCCAGGGCCTCCTGCATGCAAGGCAAGCACTGTACCACTGAGCCACCTTCCCAGCCCTTGGATTATTTTCTTACCTCAAAGAGTCATCCTGTACCTTGGCCTTTGAAGTTGAGCTAACCCTATAGCTTCCTGGGGCTAGTCAGCAGTTTGTTTTCCTCATCTCTGAGGTGGCAGCAGGGACCCTCCACTGTGTTGAGCAGCAGTTTGTGTCTGGAGAGGGATTGTTCTTTGAGGCTTTTGAGATTGGATGGCAAGGTCACCAGTGGCCAAGTGGACAAAGCAGGCTGGCTCCCCTAAAGGGAAACAGCCTAGTTTCTTCTTTGTTGGCTGCACCTCCTTAGACTGCTCTCAGGACTCAGAAGAACATCCAGAAAGAATTGAGTTCCCATCTTCATGTCTTCATGGTGAATGTCATTCTTCAGTGCCCCTTGATTCTGACTTCAGCTTTACCATTGCTTTCAGGGGGAGCTTCATGTCTGTAAACTCTTCAACCATCCCAATATTGTGCCATATCGAGCCACCTTTATCGCAGACAATGAGCTGTGGGTCATCACGTCATTCATGGCATATGGTGAGTGGGAAGATGTTCCTGGTAGAGGGTTTCTCACAGCCCCGTTAGCAGATTGCTTATGTACTGTTTTCTTTTTGTGTGTGTGTGTGTGTGTGTGTGTGTGTGTGTGTGTGTGTGCGCGCGTGCACGCACATTTGCACGTGTGTGTGCATGCCAATACTGGAGCTTGCACTCAGAGCCTGGCCACTGTCCCTGAGCCTTTTCACTCAAGACTGGCACTCTACCACTTGAGCCACAGCTCCAGCTTTTTAGTAGTTAATTGGAGAGAAGAGTCTTACAGATTTTGCTGCTCAAGCTGGTTTCAAAATGTGATCCTCAGATCTCAGTCTCCTGAGTAGCTAGGATTAGTAATACAGAAGTGAGCCACCAGTGCCTGGCATTATGTGGGTTTTTCTTCCTTTTATGCTTCCTTTCCTTCAGGTTCTGCAAAGGATCTCATCGGCACACACTTCATGGATGGCATGAATGAACTGGCCATTGCTTACATCCTGCAGGGGGTGCTAAAGGCCTTGGATTATATCCACCACATGGGCTTTGTGCACAGGTACATTCTTAAGTGACTTCACCTTTTATTAGTGAGCTCTCCAGTTAATAGTTGAAGGTTGATTGGAATTATTGAAGCTAGAGTTTAAAATCTAGATCTGCCCAGATTCCAGTAGCTCACACTTAGAATCCTAACTACGCTACTCATTTGGCTGAAACCTGGAGGATCACGGTTCAAAGCAAGTCTGGGCCGAAAAGTTGGTAAGATTCTATCTCCAAAATAACCAGCAAAAATGAGGGCTGGAGGCATGGCACAAGTAGAAGAACACCAGCCAAGCAAGCCAACCCAATGAGAGGCCCTGAGTTGAAACCTCAGTACCACCAAAAAAAAAGAGTAAGATCTGGATTTTGACCTTGCCATCGCCTATCAGTGCTGAAGCCATGGGCATCCTCTTTATTGAGTATTTGGTCCTGAGTATTGTATGATTTGCTGTAAATAAAATGCATATGTTCATGTATTATACACCCTGGATAGTTTGGATCTGAAGGTATCGAGTGTGAGGGGCTCTTGCCGCCTATGACACCCTTCTGGGCTCCCCACAGGAGTGTCAAAGCCAGCCACATTCTGATCTCCGTGGATGGGAAGGTCTACCTTTCTGGCTTACGCAGCAACCTCAGCATGATCAGCCATGGGCAGCGGCAGCGTGTGGTCCATGATTTCCCCAAGTATAGTATTAAGGTTCTGCCATGGCTCAGCCCTGAAGTGCTCCAGCAGGTATGTTCCCCAGGGCCTAGGCACCCCCACCTCCCACTGGTACATTTGAGTAGATGAGAGGATCATTCAAGGAGGGGTTCCTGTTGGGCAGGGGTACCTGGACACTCACTCAACATGGCCATTACCCACCCACTAGGGATAGATGTGGTTTTTAACCTGCTGGGTTCTAAAACAGTGCTGGACACTATTTCAAGTCCCTTCAAGGATTCTTTTCCCCGCTATGAGTAGTGAACGTTATAGAAATGCTGGGTGCTGTCTAAATCCCCATGTTGAACAAGAGCACCAGCTCCAAACACACCTTCCTATTTATTAAATAGTGATTCTAAACATTGGTTCCTTGTCAAATCGCCGTTGATCTTCAGCAGAACGGTAAGGGGACTTGTCCGAGCTAGTCATGACCATGGGACAGGCATCCTTCTCCTCCTCTGTTTTGTTCCGCCCTTCTTTTCTAAACAAAGACCAAGGCTACAAATGGAGTCATCCTTAGCTTGTTTTCTCCTGACTTAGAACCTTCAGGGTTACGATGCCAAGTCTGACATCTACAGTGTGGGGATCACAGCCTGTGAACTAGCCAATGGCCACGTCCCCTTCAAGGACATGCCTGCCACCCAGGTAAGCCTGCAGCCCAGTGTTTTCCTTCGCACCTGCTTGCCTTCCACAAATATTTGCTGTTACTGCTGCACTCAGAGACACTGGCTGTAAGATTAAAAAGTTTTAGCAAAGGATTTTAGTATAAAGGTTTAAGGTAGGGAGAAATGGAAAAAAGAAACATTTTCTGCTCCCCCCACATAGAAAATGGGAGTTAAAGGCTCCCAAAGGCAGCTTTTTCTTCAAGAGCTGACCCTCCTTCAGGCCAGTGGAGGGATATTTGTGTAATTCTTCTCTGTGTGATAAATGCTATGGCCACAGATCAGTGCAGGAAGTGGTGGCAGGGTGGTGGGAACAACAGTGTGGATGGAGGCCCACTGTAAAACTTGCAAATCAGGTAAACATATTTGTACATTTATCAGATATTTCCTGCCTACTCACCTAGGTAAGAACACCTAGAAAGTCAGTTTTCAGATCAGAGTTTTGTGCTGTTGTATACTGGCCTGCACCTTTGGAACCATTCTTTTTTTTTTTTCCTGGTACCAAAGTTTGAACTCCTGAGTGCTACCTCTTAACTTTTTGTTCAAGGCTGACTCTCTGCCACTGGAGCCACAGCTCCACTTCTGGCTTTTTTGCTGGTTAATTAGAAGAGTCCTGAGGACTTTCCTACCCAGGCTGGCTTTGAACCTCAATCCTCAGATCTCAGCTTCCTGACTAGCTAGGATTATAGACATTAGCCACAGACACCTTGCTCCAGAAGCAGACATGAGCCACCAGAGCCCAGGGCTGGAGCTTCTGTTATGCAAATTCAGCTTCTATTTCCGTCCCTGCACACACCTGCCCTTTGGCATCCCTCTGCCATCTCTCTGTCCTGGAGTAGCACAGTCTTTGCTTGGGTGGACAGATCCAGACAAAAGGCATATTCAGGCCCCATTACATTCAGGAAGTGGAATTGGGAATCATCTGGCAAAATGATGCCTCCACTGGGGTTCCAGATGTTAGGAATTTGGTCTAGAACTGGGAGAAGGCAGGTAGAGGCTCTGAATAAGCCTCTCCTTCCTGGACACAGACTGCTTGCCCTGTGTAAAGGGGGAAGCTAGGGAATGGGCAAAGGAGACATCTAGAAGAAGGGCCCAGGAAGGTTTTAGGGAAGGGCAAAAATTGCCCTATTGGTTTTTTTTTTGTTTGTTTGGGTTTTTTGGGGGGGTCCAGTCGTGGGGCCTGAACTGTGGGCCTGGGTATTGTCCCTCAGCTCTTCAGCTCAAGGCTAGCACTCTACCACTTGAGCCACAGCACCACTTCCAGTTTTTTTCTTTTTGCTTCTCTGGTGCTGGGGAATGGAACCTAGGGCCTCATGCAAGTGCTCTACCACTTAGCCACCTTCCCAGCCCATGGCCTATTGTTAAGGGCAAATAGTTCACAATGTGAAAAGCAGAAACAGAAGCTAACTCTAAGACCCAGGGCTAAGAAAGAATAGCATCTACCTAGCATAGTGGTTCAAGCCTGTAATCCTCACTACTTGGGAGATGGAGATCAGGGGATTAAAGTTTGAGGCCAGTCCAGGCTAAAAAGAAGTTCACAAGACTGCAACTCAGCCAATTACTATACCTGTCATCCCCAATGATTCAGGGAAGCATAAATAGGAGGATCATGGTCCAAGCTAATCTGAGCATAAAGCAAGACCCTACCTCAAAACTAACCAGAGGGCATCTGGCTCCTGTCCCCAAGCATTTGGCTAATTGCTGGAGGAGCCATCAAATCAGATGTATGCTCTTTTCAGGGTCACTGTAGTAGATGTATTGGATCTGGTAGAATAGTTAAGAGGATGTAGAAATGAGGAAATGTATCAGGAAATCTAAAAAAAGAAATTCAGCTAATGAAGAATGCTTAGGAGACAGCTAAAAGGCTATTTATTGTGAACAAGAAATTCAGATCCAGAAGTAGCACTGTTTGTCAAAAGTCTGCAGTGCTGGAAACAAAATGTTCCCACCATGCCGCCCAACATGGCAGCCACTGGCCACCTGTGATTGAGTGTTTAAAACGTGGCCAGTGAAATCTGTACTGGTGGGTCCCTCATACCATCATCTTAGCTGCTCAGGAGATGGAGATCAAGGGGATCATTGTTTGAAGCAGCACAGGAAAATGTTTGCGAGACTCCATCTCAACTAGCAGTTGGTTGGTATGTACCTGACATTCCAGCTAGCAGGAAGTATCAATAGGAGGATCGTGGCCCAGGTGAGCCCAGGAAAAATGTGAAATCTTATTCAAAAATACCTAGAGCAGGGCTGGGAAGGTGGCTTAGTGGTAGAGTGCTTGCCTCACATGCATGAGGCCCTGGGTTCAATTCCTCAGCACCACATAAACAGAAAAATCCAGAAGTGGCACTGTGGCTCAAGTGGTAGAGCACTAGCCTTGAGCTGAAGAGCTGAGGGACAGCACCCAGGCCCAGAGTTCAGGCCCCATGACCGACAACAACAATAAAAATACCTAGAACAAAAAGAACTGGAGATGTGGTTTGAGTAACAGAGTGCCTATCTAGCCAGTGCAAAGCTCCAGGTTCAAAACCCAGTACCCCCCAAAATTAAAAAAAAAATAGAGCCAGTGAGATTGAGGAACTGAATTTTAAGTGCTACACGGTTTAAATAAAGTCACACACACTAGCAAGCCCTAGGGAGATTTCCAGATTTCTGGCTTAGACAACTCTTTAGGTTCATAAGGACAGCAATTCCAGGAGCAGGGGGGCTGGTCTCCCATGTACTGAGTTTGAGAGCATTGGAAACAGTCATGGTTTGCTACTGGACAGACTGTGACTGGGTGGCTGGATACACTGACAAGCCAGGATGTGACACTGTATGTGTACATTGTAGACCCCAGAGTAGCACCTGGGCCTGGCAAATTGGGACTGGGCTTAAAAGATGGTGACTTGGCTGCTGCCTCCATCCTAAGGGGAGGGCTGTAGAGTTCAAAGCCTAGTAAAGGGGGAGAGGAAACAGCCCTTCCTTCCAGCCATGGAGAAGGGGTGCATCTTAACCTCCCTCTTCTCCCTCCCCCAAACTCCCAAGCCAGTAGCCAGCATCCCTTTGGAAAAGTTACTTTGATTTCCCTTCCACTTTGGCTCCTGAAAGATGTATTTGTTGAGGAGGAAGAATGTGTCTGGGAGGAAACTCCTCCAGCTCAGGCCTGGCTCTGCCCCTGCAGATGCTTTTGGAGAAACTGAATGGCACAGTGCCCTGCTTGTTGGACACCAGCACCATCCCTGCTGAGGAGCTGACCATGAGCCCCTCGCGCTCAGGGACCAACCCTGGCCTGGGGGAGAGCCTGGCATCTAGCACCTCCCGGCCCTCCAATGGCAACTCACCTTTCCACCCCTACCACCGGACCTTCTCCCCTCACTTCCACCACTTTGTGGAGCAGTGCCTTCAGCGAAATCCTGACTCGAGGTATCTACTGACCTGCAGCCAGGCTTTGGCGGTATGGGGGGAGAAGTGAGGAGTCTGGAGTTGGGCCAGGATTTGAGAGGATGAGTACCGCTAAGTACCTGGGAGGCGGAGGCATAGCAAGAGAAATCAGCTTCTTGTCTTGTGGCTCTGGCTGTGGAATTTTGGTGAGCTGGGGGAAGGACTGGAGGGAGGGTGCAGCATGAGCTGCATGTGTGGAAAGCCAGGCACAGGCATTATGTGAGTCTCTCCCCTTCCTTTCCAGGCCCAGTGCCAGTGCCCTCCTGAGCCACTCCTTCTTCAAGCAGGTATAGTCAGGCAACCGTGGTTCTAGCTGTGGGGTTCCTCCTGTTGCACTGGAGGAAGCCTCAGGCTGTGCATCCTGCCCCATGGTGTCCTGGGACCTGAGCCTCAGGCTATAGCTCCTAACTGCTTCTCTTCCCCAGATCAAGCGGCGTGCCTCCGAGGCTTTGCCTGAGTTACTTCGTCCTGTCACCCCCATCACCAATTTTGAAGGCAGCCAGTCTCAGGATCAGAATGAAATCTTTGGCCTGGTGACCAGCCTGGAAGAGCTGGATGTGGACGACTGGGAATTCTGAGCGTTTGTAGACTGTGCTCTAGGCCCCGGGGCCCTTCCTGAGGGCTGGATGCAGACTGGGTAGAAAGGAATTCTGCCAGTCACAGCAGAGTACTGGCTGGTTGGAGGGACATTCCAGAAGAAACCGTTGGCAGAAAGCTTCAAGCTCAGTGGACCTCAGAAGGAAGAGATGCTGCTCATACCCCGAGGCTGAAGTCCAAGCCCTGGGTTTGACTCGTGGACCAAGGGAACCGTCACCTCTTCTCTTCACCTCCTCTTCCCACCGCTTGTTCTGCTGCCGTTCTTTTCCTTTCTCCCAAGTTCTATAGGCCAGCAAAGAGGCAAGTTACAAGGAGCCTGCCTCCTTGACCCTCAGGTCTCAATGATTATTGAAGGGCAGGGTAATGCTGTCATCTTAAACACCAGGTTAAAAGCTGGGGCAGATCTCCCTTGCCCTCTTATCTTTTGGACACTTGACACCTGAACCCTTCCTGCAGCTCATCTGTTAAGCTTACTCCTTTCCCCAGCATCCATCTTAACCCTCCTGCCAGCTGCCTTGGGGCCTCTTCCAAGGGCCCTATTGTCATGTCTTTCCTGAGGGCCTAAGTACCTGTGCTGTATTACTCTTGTTTTAACAAATTAAAATTTTCAGAGACTCTGGTGGGAAATGTAGTGTGTGTCAGCATGCTTCCTTATGTTTGTGCTTCTAAGAATGACCAGACAGGCTCAGACTACCCTGGGTTCTGCTACTAGAATTTTTTTCTTCCCAGTCATGGAGCTTGAACTCAGGGCCTGGGCTCTGTCCCTGAACTTCTTTTGCTCATGGCTAGTACTCTGCCACTTGAGCAACTGCACCATTACAGGCTGTTTCATGTTTATGTGGTACTGAGGAATCAAACCCAGGGCTTCATGTATGCTATGCAAGTACACTACCACTAAGCTACATATCCAGCCCACCAAAATGTTTTGTTTTTGTTTTCTTTTGTCAGTCCTGGAGCTTGAACTCTGGGCCTGGATCTGTCCTTGAGCTCTTCAGCTCAAGGCTAGTGCTCTACCACTTGAGCCACAGTGCCACTTCTGGTTTTCTGGTGGTTTATTGGAGATAAGTCTCATGGACTTTCCTGCCTGGGCTGGCTTTGAACTGTGATCCTCAGATTTCAGTCTCCTGAGTAGCTAGGATTACAGGTGTGAACCACCTGAGCGCCCGGCTCAGAATGTTTTTTGAGATTAGGTTTCTCTGTGTAGTATAGCCTGTCTTCATATTCATTGCTCCTTGCCTCAACCTTCAAGGGCTAGAATTATAGGCATGAACCACTATGCCTGGCTTCAGACATTTTTTGCAAAACCCATAATAGTCACTTAATTATCTAAAATTTAAAGACTGTTGTATTAAATTTTTCCTGATGTCATCAAATCACTTGAAGCTGGAATGGGCTAGATGCAGGACACCAGCCACTGCACAAACAGGACCACTTTTGGGGTCATTAGGGCTTCTGTCTTCAGCAGGAAAGGACAGAGGAATTTATCTTATGAAAGGACTTGCTGAATGTCCTCACATTTGGTACCATCTTTCAAACCTGTCATCCTGGTGGTAGCCAGTGAGGTAGGAACAAAAGACCCATCTTTTTTTTTTTTT